TGTGTGAATACTGGAAGTGTAACGTGGTTGTAATATAGGTGCAACGAGGGTGTTAAATGGGTTTAATAAAGGTTTGATTATATAAAATATACCCTAAATGGGCCATATATAATAAGTTGGAAATCATAAGTTATATTCTGAAATAAATCATGAAACTGTGTCATTTTATTTATTTATTTATTCATTTATTTAACAGGGACAGTGCACATTCATTGACATTGCTGTAAATGTGCCAGAGTTAGCCAAGAGGCTATTTTTCATCTGTAGTCCCTAATTTTTGCCTATCCATTAGCAAAAAACTAACATTTTCTGAAATATGTATATGTGCGTGCCCTTATAAGAGTTAAAAACACATGTATATAGAGTACAAAGAAACTCAAATAGAGTTTCAACAGTTGAGTTTTACTTAAATCTACAGACTAGGCATCATTCACCATCACTTGCTTAAAGTAAATATATGTCTTATGCCCCCTGCATGACCTTACTCTCAAAACATCCACCTCAATCTGCTGCAAGTGTCAAATTCCTTCAGCTGAATATTATGCAGTCAGACAACTTGCCATCAGTGGCGATCATAATGTCCACACATAGAATCACTGCCTGGGGATGTTTTTCTACCAGATATCCCTCTATAAAACTGTATGAACTGGTATCGCTCCATTATAATATTGCCATTGCTTTCTGCAAATTGACATTTGCTCATAACAGCTCACTAATATTGTTCTGCCAGATTAATTCCCATAAAGCTTTAACTTCCTAGAATAAAACTGCCTACTTAGGGAAGACAGTTGATTCTGGGAGTTTATGCTGATTGCTTTTGATGGGATTTTATTTCTAACATATTTAGAGGAAGGCATTTGGTTCGCTGTCATGTTCTATTACTGAATGCAAGATTTAGGAAATTGCTACAATACAGACACAGGGAACTTGTTTAAAATGGTCACAACATTTTTTGAAAAATAAGACAAAATAAACCCCAAACTATCTGCATGGTCAGACACTAGGAACATATGTTGTGTAATTTGTGTGAACCAATGCTTCAGATGAAAGATTTAAGAAAGGTAGCCAGGTTGAATAATTCATCATATTGTTTTGGTTGATCATGGGAACCAATCATTCCGACTATACGGAGAGATTGATTACAATGAAAAGTGATAAGGAAGTCCAGTGAATATTCTCAAAATACCCAAAATATGTCCCGAGACAAACAAGTTTCAAAATAAAAGCTTTTCCTACCTATTTGTCTTAGAATAGAGCATTTTCTTAACAAGATGTATCGAAATATCCAAAATACCTCCATCAATGACAAATAAACACTAACCTATCTGCATGTCTAGACACAGACAAGAGGTAGAACATATGTTTGATGATTTGGATGAACCAAAGTTTCAAAATAAAAGCTTTTCCGACCAATATATGTTTCAACAAGACTTCCCTAATATACGGACAGCTAGTGTGGTCAACATGTAGTATGATGAACAGGTCAAATGGTTGGTTAAAAGGTAGCCGGATTAAAAAAATGATCATATTTTACTTGATCATGGAACCAATCATTAAGGAGAGATTGATTACAATGAAAATAGATCAAAAAGTCGAGTGAATAACCTCAAAAAATATCAAAATAAACACTAACCTATCTGCATGTCTCGACACAGACAAGAGGTATAAAATATGTTTTATGATTTGGATGAACCGATGTTTCAAAATAAAAGCTTTTCCTACCAATATATGTTTCAACAAGACTTCTCTATACAGACAGCTAGTGTGGTCAACATGTAGCATGACGAACAGTTTTTAAAGGTAGCCACATAAATATACACCAACAAGAGGTAGTACACATATTTTGTATACCGTTGCTTCAAAATAAAAGCTTTTCCAACCAACATGTGTTTAAAAATAGTGTTTACTTCCCAAGAGAGTATTAAACGAGAGTAGAGTATTTTCATTTATTCAACTGGCTCTCCATCGACTACTTACCATAACACAGCTTAAGATCACAGAGGTTTCTTAGCGAGACATTTGTGTGACACGCAGCAGTAATTCTACGGATTTTATTTGATGAGATACATTCAAGCGAGAGGATGTTATGATTATTATTTTACAACACTTTGTCGTCATCTAAACAGAGCTGTATAATGTCATTTCTCATTTCATTTTGAAAGCTTACAGGGCGCTTGACTGGACACAAAGCTGCTTTTTATGTGCATAATATAATTCACAGTATTCAGTTTAACATTTTCACTCTAAATAAGCTCAAGAACGATGGGATTTGAAGTCCATTTGTTTGTTCTAGTGTTAAATTGACCTCAATAAAAATGTTAAAAACAATTATCAGTTTAGGCAAAAGCTAAACAAGAGGAAACACTATGTGAGAATATCAGTTTTAAAATGTTAAAACGTTGTTCATCTTAATTGTACAAGTGTACAGATTAGGATTTGGATGGATGTTAATGGACTTTGGGAAGTTAGCATATATTTAGCTATATTCCTTCTACATGATAATGTCACCCACACATTTGCGTTGTTTCCCATAACATGGGACAGGAAAGTGGGAGGGGCTGCTACCTGTCTGTCTGAAGGGACTGCCGATGTCCGNTTTGCGTCAGTAGATTTCTCCTAAATTCACCAAAAGTTAGCTTTCTAACGTAACATAAAGTACCGCGACCACTGTGTGCACCATGTCAACAGAGATATCCGATATCTCTGTTGACATGGTGCACACAGTGGTCGCGGTACTTTATGTTACGTTAGAAAGCTAACTTTTGGTGAATTTAGGAGAAATCTACTGACGCAAATAGACAAACTATAGTCAAATAAACACTTAAATGTGTATTTTGTACGTTTTCCTTCCAAAAGCCTGAAAGAAAACTTGTTATAGAATCAAAATAGCACAAAATCTCAAAATTGACCAGTGCTTGAAAAACGATGTTTTTGCCTGCCGTGTCTCGCCTTAAGTATTTTTATTATTTTTAACTTTTTTTGTCAGTGTTTGTTATACACTCTATGTGTATATTTAACCTCTTCAAATAATGCATGGACACGTTTTGTATTTTATTGTATGTATGAAGTCAACATACTTGTCATGTAATTTCGATCGTGGCCGGGTCACTAATATATTGAACATTATTTTAACTCATTTGGTTTATAATTTGAGAGGAAATCTACATTTGAAACAACTCTACGTAAGAACAACTGTGAGAAGTATGTGCATAACAATCTGTGGGGTGATGTTATGGAATGGTTTGGAGCAGGAGTTCAAACAAAGCACACATATAATTCAGTTCAAAAGGGTGTACAGAAACACTTGTTTGGAAAACTATGAGAATGAAGAAAGGTGATTGAAGATGAGAAATTATTGTAAATGTATGTATAAATGTAAATATGTAAGTAGGAATAACTTGCAGAAATGATTATCCAATCATTCATCAGCAGTACGTAAGGGGTGGGAATTAATAATTATTTGCTTCCTCCTGCGCCCTTTTGGACATATGATTTATTATTATTATTATTAATATTTTGTTGAATATGACAATTTTTTGTTGAACATATAAATATTATTATGAATAGTGATAAATACTGTATTCTAACAATACGGTATTCTGTTTTTCACATTTGTTTTTTAATCTGTTCGAAAGAAAGATGGAAATTAAATTAAATCTATTTTAGAGTCACATAAATATGCAGCATTGTTCTTTAAAAATGTAATATTTCTATTAGCTTTTGCAGTTGTTTTTTTCATTTACCCTCACATCCATTTTGTGACTAATCGGAATTTAAGAAGATACAAGTAGTAATAACTGCTAAGTTAAGGTCTAATTTCAGCCTTTCCCTGCTCTATAAACTATAAATTCACAATAATTGATCAAAAAAGGGGTTATGTTGAAAAGCAAAGCCAAAAGATGATGGAGAGATTTTCCTATTAACCCAAATTGGTTTCTGCATCACGACAGAAGGGAAGAAACTTGTGAGTGGCAGATTGAGTAACAAAAAGCCAAGCTAGTTTCAAATTCATGAACTGGAGCATGATCACATTTGCAAGCACGCTGAAAAGCACACACACACACACACACACAGATTCACAAATCCACACACACACCAGCACGCGGTCACACACCTACACACACTCACACCTGGCTGTTGCCCAAGTCTAGCACACAATGCCATCCAGATGCACAGTGCAGATAGAACAGAGAGATCCAGCATGGTTCTGCGTGCCAAACACTCGGGTAATATAGAGAGAAAGGGAGCGTGAGAGAGAGAGAGAAAGAGGACATAGAGAAAGTGAAGTAAAAAGGGAGGCCAGCGAAGAGATGGGAAAAAAACCTCAGGGGTTTTGGACCACCTGTCTGTACTGGCTGACCGCTGAACGACCTCTAAACCGCTTCATGATGAGTACAGAGAAGGGAGAGAGAAGGAAAGTCAGAGAGAAAGACAGAAAGAAAGAAAAAAAAAAGAAAGGAAGGAAAATGAAAACTGGAGACATACACGAGAGGAGGAGAAAATGAGACAGCTGAAATCCCCCCATTCCATGAAGGGAAATTATCCTCAAAACAAAAGGCAATAACAAGCTTATGGGGCCGCCATAAAAATGAGAACAATAAAAATGTGAATCATGCCTGTGTGTGTGTGTATGCATATTAGTGCATTTGTTTGCCAGGGTGTATGTGTGTGTTTTTGGGATTGCTTGCACATGCATGTACTCGTTCAGTGTGTCTATGTGCAGAAATAAGTGGTGTGTATGTATGTGTGTGTGCACGGGTTTTTGTAGTGCGACAATTAAAGTGATAATTTAGGACACAATAGCAGCCTGATGCACCGATGATAGTCCTCTGCAGAGTACAGCTGCTGGGTTGATTATCTGGGTTTCTACACACACTAGTTATCCCAGCTTTAAATGAGAAGATGGATTTATCTCATCATGGAAGCTGCATTTGAACAATCAAGCAGTGCAAACTATTGGATGCGATATGTGTGTGTTAAAGATCGGACACCAGAAGTACCTGACTCTTGGAGACGGAAACTTTAGCAAACAGAGCCTGAGACACCTTGGCTCTCTTCATCTCGTGCTGAATGTCCTCGTAGATAGAAGCGCTCACATTGAGTACACAGCTGTCTGTCCTCAACCCTCTGTCTCCTAAAACTGGGGACAGTCTCGCCTAAGAAGAGATACACAAGAGGACACAAAGACAAGTTAGTAAGCTTTAGCGGCATTTGCTGCGATGTGAAATAATCAAATACAGAGCTAAGACACACACACTTTTAAAGGAGGTACTGTCAACCCAGTGACTTCCAGTTGGCCATGTAGGTACTACCAAATGATTGATTATATTAGCTTTTTGGTAAGCTAGTTAACAAAATGTGCTCAGGAATTCACCACAATAAAAAATGTCAAATTAAAATGTCTAATTTCCAAATCCAATAACATCCTTTTATCAGCAAGCCAATCACGTATAGAGGGTACAGACTATAAATTGCTTTGCCACTGTTAGCGATAGCCTAACGTTTCTTCGGATCCAGTGAAAGATGCCAAATAGATTGTATTTTTGGGATATGGCCCTTTTTCAAAAACCTCCAAACCGTGTGGTGATGAAATATAAACTTGAATACATTATATTTGTATATTTTAAACATTCATGATGGCAGGCAGTGAGGGGGGGAGGGTTAGCAGAATATTTATGTTTATCATTACAGCTGAGAGGAACAACACAGATTTACATTATTTTTCTCTTAAATTAAAAAAGTATTGTTTCGTATTTTCTTTATCAGAAGTGGGTTTTGACTAGGAAATGGGAAGCCAGTGACGGATGCTGTCCTTTAACAAACCCTAGGGGGTGTACTCTGGGTGGAAAACATGAACAAATGCACAAGATGCTCAGTGGAAATGTAGCTCCTCCCTGGCAGGAGAAGCAGCTGGCAACTTCATGTATATATGCATGCACCTCTCCAGGTTCCGAGGTGGAGCCGCAGCGTAGAGCACAGCAGCAGAACATATCAGAATGGAAATATAAGCTATGAGTGAGGATTCATTAAAAACATGGCTAGAGAGGAAGCTGGTCGGGTCAGACTAACCTACTGCCACAACACGGTTCATACAGTATCTATTTTTGCAATATGTGAAGTACAGTATATCAGGGGTTTGTGACATTCACAACGACTCCCTGATATGATGATTTAGATTTGCTGTTGACTATGACCTTTACCTGTCTTTGGTAAATGAAGATTCATCCATACAGTACATTTGAATTGTTTAGCACTCTTTGTCTTTTATTTCCACTTCCCTATTCCATTGCTCTTCCATGAGAAGAAACACATCAGTTCAAACATTTCACAGCAGCTTTTGTGACACTGATTTCCTGTCTGCAGGCTGACCTGTGTGGATCTCGGTGGCGTGTTATTACAGCCTGGGATGAATCCAGTCAAGGTTCTGTCTTTCTCCTCCAGGTAGATGCGGTCCCTCTCAGCTTCGTGCACCTGCAGGAAGCTGTACATGGCCCGCAGGTTGACCAGCAGAGACTGGGAGGCGTGGTTAGGGTCCTCCTCTTTCCGCAAAATCTCAGACAGCAGACCCTGGTAAAGACACACAAACACACAAGTTACTCATCGATTGGTATAGGGGAAATAATACACAATAAATTATAAATTCACATGTCAAATGCATTCAGGCATATTGATGTAAAGTGGCTTCATATTACTATTCGAATAAATGGAAAGCTGGTGTATAAAGTAACCATCTAAATGATCTTGAGGCTGTTGTTTATTCCTTTTTTGTGCATCAAATAAAAAACACTTGAAATCAATGTTTAAGATTTTAGGAAAATATAGAACTGCCTATATTTTTCATGTTAAGGTGGCTAACTCAACGTTTCTCATGTGCCTCCAGGTTTTTTTGAAAAGCTCCTTATATCCATATTTGGATCCCATTCCAAGAGGCACCTTATCAAGTTCCTGCGGTTTAATGTTTCACAGCTATATATGATACAGAGCCAGTTCCCCAGTCAGTCCTAAGCACGCCACTCGCCTGTAGAGCTTGTGAAACTCTGGGTGTATCTATGTATGCAGGAAAGCCTTTAAACATGCTGATTGTTGGGCTTCCGTCCTGAAAAGAAATCAGATTTCATGCTGGTAGTGAAATGGAAAGCAAGGAAACAGGCTTTTTATTCAAATCATGGATCATCTTTGGATCCACCCAGCAAACCCCTCTCTCCAAATAGACGGCGGCTTTAAGGTGAATCGCCAAATGACAAATGTTCCCATCACTTCTATATGGCATCTTGGCATCATGCCCAACTTGTATGGCTGGCACCGGAGCACCTTGGACTTGGCAGTGGGAAAACATGGGGGTGGATAATAGCTAGCTCTGCTTATTGTGATGGAAATGATAATGACGGTAATAATAATAATAACAATGGGCTTAGCCTGTCCTCTGAGCCCCTTTATGTGGGTGTGGTGGTGAATGTAAGATGATAGACACAGATTACGTGGCATTTTAGTGTTAGAAGCGAAATATGGAAATAAAATGAGGGAGACCAATGGAAGAACAAAGGGAAAGATTTTTTTTTTTAAACTGTTCAAGGGGTCTTCAGAGGGAAAGGTTGAACGATGAAGGGACAGTACAACAGAAGAAGAGGTAGAGAGGGAGACAGTTTCCCTCCACGGGGTTGTGATGAGTTGGCCCAGCAGCTGCTTCAGTGCTGGCACCAGCTTTGTGCTGCAGAGGGCTGGCAAAAACACACACACACACACACACACACACACACACACACACACACACACACACACACACACACACACACACACACACACACACATGCGTACACACATGGATAGGGGGAGGGGGCACTGCGGCAAAGGCCATGCCAATGTGCCAACCATCAAACACACATTCACAGAACACTCTTTACTAAAACCCTAACAGCAGAAAACAGTCCCAAACGATAATCACCCACAAGCAGTTGCAACCCCTTCTGATTTTCAACACCTCTCATGCAGATCACAGTCTCCGTACCCCCTTACTTCCGTACCTGGGTCCTGTTAAAGGCCACTCGTGCAAAGACAGCTTGAGAGATGCCTGCTCTCTTCAGTTCCTCCCTCACACAGTGGTAGATTTCAAATGGCACGTCTGACGACCCAACAGAAGACCCAGCCAATGTCTGGGTTTGCGTCCCGGCTAAAGGGCCTCCTCCTGGGCAGCACTGGGCCTGCTGTGGGGCTTGGGAATCAGGGGCTTTGGAGAAAACCATTGGAGGAGGGGGAGGAATCGCTACCGGCGGGTGGTTGAGAAACTGCTGTGGGGACGGTGAGAGACCCTGGCCAGCTAGCATGCGGCTAACAGCATACTGCTGGTTGAGAAACTGAGCCATCACCAGCTGCTGGTTGACCATTTGTGAGCTTAATGGCTGGGTTACCAACCCGGGGGGGCGCCTGAGGAGCGGGGACCGGCCACATATGCTGGCTACTTCTCCATGAGAGAAAAACATGGTTGGGCTCTGATCAGCAGGGCTGCTTGTGATTGGCTGCTGAGTGAGGGTGATATGTGCAGTCTGGTCAGAGAATCTGTCAATATCTGGTGCAGGGAAAGCAAAGACAGATGTTACATTATTATCACATCAAATGCAAACAGTGAGTCCTAAATAAAACTAGATACTAATTCCCTAGCAGGTTTGAGTGTTAGGATTAGGGTAACATGTATCTAAAATGAAGTATACTTAAAAGCATGCAAACAAAATATGGTAGATTTTTGAGTGAGCTGCCAGTGGACACCATTTGGACACGTTTTGTTTCAAGACACCAAATATGTCAGTAATTAGCTTTTATGCCTCTTTAAAAAGGTAGTTGCTTACAAGTAAATTAGAAAAAAGAGGTTGATGGAGACATTAACACCATCAGCCTGGCCAAAGGGAAACTCATCAGTGGTTGTGGTCTTAAAGGCATTTCACTCTATTCTTCCACAGTGCAAGAGAGACACCACTGGAAACATCTAGATGTCTGTGTTGCACATATTTCATGACTTACTGTAAGTATAACATAGTTGGTCTAACTTCTAAAACAGTATACTGTCATGACGTCTACATACAGTACTTTACATACCATATAGAATAAGTATGTAGTATGGATTAGGGACATGCTGTGAGACTTATCAGGCACACTTAATGTTTGCAGAATTGATTGAAGACCCTCACCCTTGAAGCATTTGGTCTTCTTGAAGTGCTTGTACCATCGACCAAACTCGTGACACTTGGCAGCTGAGACATTTGCATAGTAAGTGCTATTTACAATAGATGATATCATACTCTGAAACAGAGGGGAAAAGACAATAGAAATTCATTACATTTTCCAAGCTCCTGCTATGGGCGGCCTGGGTGTCTCAGCTGTTCACACATCTGATATTAATGAACTCAGATCTGTGTTATTAAAAAGACCCCCAGGTAAATAGGATAATAAAGACAGATGAGTGTGTCAGAGTGTTAGCGTGTGTGTGTTGTTGTTGTGTGTGAGTGAGTGAGTGTGTGTGTGTGTGTGTGTGTGTGTGTGTGTGTGTGTGTGTGTGTGTGTGTGTGTGTGTGTGTGTGTGTGTGTGTGTGTGTGTTGTACCTGGGACAGGGGGCACTCCTTGGCCAGGGAGCTCTGGTTCATGTCCTTCAGGAGCTCCTTCAGAGCGTTTCTTACCGTGGAGTGACTCCACTGCTCGGGTGGTAAGTCCTCCAGTTTGGGACAGCTAGTCAAAGGGAAAAGGAAACACTTCATTTCATTTCCATCATCATTTCGAACAGATTAAAGTAACACATTTAGTATTTATCACTATTCATAATAATATTTATATATTCAACAACAAATAGTCATATTTATATATTCAACAAAATATTCATAATAATATTTATATATTCAAAAAATATATTCATAATAATACATCATAATTATGTCCGAAAGGAAGCAGGAGGAAGCAAATGCTTATTAATTCCCACCCCTTACGTACTGCTGATCAATGATTATCCTTTAAATCATTTCTGCAAGTTATTCCTACTTATATATTTACATTTATACAGACATTACAATAATTTCTCATCTTCAATCACCTTTCTTCATTCTCATAGTTTTCCAAAAAAGTGTTTCTGTACACCCTTTTAAACTGAATTATATTTGTGCTTTGTTTGAACTCCTGCTCCAAACCATTCCATACAATCACCCCACAGATTGGTATGCACATACTTTTCACAGTTGTTCTGACTTTCAATAGAATTATGTTTATATATTTCCCTTTAAGTCCAGTGATTTCTTGTTGCACTTCCATAAAGTTGTGAAAATCAAGAAACTGGCTTTTAGTATCCTCTATGGTTAAAGCCCTTAAAACGCTGTATCTATAATTCCCACAATGTAACTTTATGGCATCGTTGATAAGACCCCGATGTCTTGTTCGGGTTGTTTCCTCAGATTTAAGAAATCTCTTTTTCAGAGCCACAACTATTTTCACAGGCTGAATATTTCTTCTTGTAAACTGAACATCATCCAGTCTCAAACACAACAGTTTCAAGAGTGCCAATTATTGTCTGGGCTGTGTATGAAATACATTATTAAAAAAATGAATAGAAGAAACTCATGTGAACACACATATACATGTTGCCATGTCACAGTCAAAAAAGTGGGTTGTAAATAATAAAGTTAATGAAGTCTGAATTCATGTTACTGCCTTCCATTGTTAATTCTATAGGTATCACCTGTGGTTTTCAAATATTAAATGAGCTATTGTGTCTTGTGATGATAAATGTGCAGCACACGTCCTGACACTCATGGTGGATCTGACGCAACTTCTATTAGTTGTGCAACTAAACCGCCTAAAAAAAATTGGGCATTGATTTTTTTAAAATTATACACTATAACTCATACATAATAATTGCAACAAGCAACCAAAATCGCCCATTCAATCTAATCTAATGGCATCCAGATTGAATAAAACAAGAGATGTATCATTCCCTGCTGGGTCTGGTTTGCCCATGCCCTTTGGTCATTTCCCTTTCTTAATACAAGTAATACCAGGTGGTGGCTTCTGCAGCATGCACTATGGTGAAAGGCTGGAAAATAAAGAAACCAGCCTTGCCACTAAGGGTCACATTCACACCGCCTGATTATTGTAAATCCACGGACAGGATGTGGTTTGAATCTTAACTGTAGACAGCAACTAAAATAGATTTGATCCCCCTACCTGTGCAGCTGTATTTTAAGTGTGATAATATGGTGAAGATCTTGCAGCATATCAGCCACGGTGGCATCAGGAGCATCTGTCACACAGGACAGCGGCACCGGGTTCCACCTGCCCACCTGGATCAGACCTGAACACAGTAACACAATTATGAATAATGTGAATAACCAATTTGTATGTAATTGATTATCTTTGCAAGCGTCTGTGATGTACCTCTGGCCTGTGCAGCAGAGCTGTGTGAGTAGCCGAGTGTCAGCAGAGCCATCTCTATCAGCTGGTTGAACAGCAGATCTCTCTTGACCAACACAAACTCAGCGTGTTCTTCTTTCCTCTCCACCTCCAGAGGGTTTTCTCTGTGCTCCACCACACAGAACACCGGCAGCAGGCTCCCTGAGGTAATGGACAAACAGTTATTAGACATATCGGATAACACAGGAGTCATAATGCACTGAAAACCCAGTCTGTAATCCCATGTACCTTTGCTGTGCCAGCTCTTGCTCTGGGGCCTCACTGGGGTGGGTTTCTGGGACAGGCAGGGGTTTTTGGCCACAGGACTCCCCTGACAGCTCCTCTCCTGCGTCGAGGGTCCCGCTCCGTTTTGTTCCAGTCGAGCCAGCTTGGCAGGAGGCGGCCGGGGGTCTACAACCAGATCACTGGCCTCAGGTTTCTTGGCTCCATTACACAGGGCGGCCATCTGTGGGCTCACACTAATACAGAGACACAGGCACATTAAAAATCAAACTGTGTTCGAGGAAATCTAATGAAACAGTATCATACAATCTTGATAATATGTGTGTAGTGTGGGCAGCAGTGAGATTATGGTGATCTGCTATATGTTCCAAAAGAGTGTTATCTAATTTATATTGAAAAATAACTTTTGCAATGACAAACAGTGTCCTTGTAAAAATCTGTCCATGGGATAGAATAGGCTGCATAGGTCTTTACAGTAACTAAGTAATGACATAATTAAATATAAAAGGAGTATATTGATACTGTACATGGCGAACATAACACAGTGGGGGAAAAAGCAGTTTCAATCTTTTACAGTTAAGTCTTCTAACAAGAAAACTGGGTAACCATTTTTGAAAAACACCTACACACAATGATATCCGGATCAGTTGTTGTGGATGACCTTCAGCCAGATGCAGCGATTAGGATAACCCTCTAAATCCAGTAAAAGTCCAGTGAATGATGGAGCGCAGTTTCCCATAATAAACCAGCTGTCATCTCAGGCGCGCCGCTGCAAACCGAGAGCGATTCAGTTCATCCTCGGCACCTAAATGCGCGCTAATTGTCCCACGTCTGATTCTGCTGAAGTTTGATCGAGGAGAAACCAACCTGTTTCAGTCGGCACAACGTGCAAATCCGACCTGCCATCACACATTTACAGCCCGTTTCTCTATGTAGACATCGGCTGTATCCATACGTTATCCTCCCTTTTATTGATCTCCAATTCAGGAACAAAAACGCGTCTCTTTGCTGTCTGTATTCGTCCTTTTCCTCACATTAATCGCCTGTTTCACATCGGCATTATTTCGTGTTTAATGTCCAAGTTTTGCCTCTGTCGCCCTTTATCTCCGTCCGCGTTTCGCTTTCCGGTGTAACGATACATTGGCCTTAGAGCAAGTTGAGAGCGACCCCCCATCCAGAGCACCGGGGCATGCTGCTTCTGTGGATCCGGCTATGGAGAGAACAATGCACGGTTTGCAGCTCCCAGAGAGCATTCACTATAATATATGAGGCTACAGCGGTGACTCCGGGACAGCAGTTGTTGGTTACACTTCAGAGCTCTATGCGCACGCGAGAAGAGGGAGAGAGAAAGAGAGGGGGAGAGAGAGACTCCCACACCCACACAGACTAATAAATACGCGGACCCAGCTGCATTAGCATATGGTGTAATAATGAATTCACTAGCGCGCTCCGTAAATGTATTAAATGTGACAATTGCGCATAAATCTATTTATTATTTTCTGCCGCATGCTGTGCACGCACTTATTATTGTCTTTAGGGTATGGAGCTCTCCATGGTAACAAAATGGAGCAAGTGGCTGACTGATATTAACTTTTGAACGTTGATGTGTTATTGTCACTACCGTAGATTAACTATGGCTTATGACTTATATGTAGGCCTGGATAATTACAGTGTACGAATGTGCTCTATATCCAATTACAATTATACAATAGCCTACTATAACAGCCTAAAGTCATCGCTATACCATACCACAGTAAAATAGGCAATGCATGTTGCTTACAGTACTAGAAATATAGAATAGTATCATATAGTAAAATGTATATAAAGAAAAGTATATTGTTGTGGTACAGCGGTTTATACTAAAATATATGATATCATAATATTCACTTCTAAAAAGGTAAAAGTAGAATAGGCTGCATATTATATGGATGTACATTAATACCAGTATAGTATAATACAGGTATTTAGGAACTATTGCTCAACAATACCCTATACTATTCTTTACTGTTACATTTGATAAATTCCAGTATAGTAGTATGTTATAGTATAGTACAATCAATAACAGGATAGCATAGTATAGTATAATACAGTCAAGTACAGTATAACACAGTATAGTATAGTATAGTATAATACAGTATATAGTACAGGATCGTTGTATAATATATGGCAACTTGTAGTTCAGATGTAAGTTCCGGATATATAGATAAAGCAAACATCTTTCTAAAAACGATCATTTGACTCTAATAATAGACTAATTTGAATGATACTGTAAAATATCAACGAAACCTAAAAGAAGACATGAAAAGAAACATCACTGTACCTCAAAGTTGTGAGACTGATGAATCCGTTGGCTGAGAACACAACTTATCTTATGTTCCCAGAAACTTTCAGACAAGTATCAGCAGACCTCCCCCACGCCATCCACTGCTGACGAGAAGCACTTCTGGAGTCTGTGAAGGTATCACAAAGCAAAGGGTGGCAGGTGTTGAGTGTCTGTGAGAGACATAAAGAGAGAAGAAGAGTCATAGATCTATCACTCTGGCAGATAAGAGTCAAAGACCATGAAATCTTACACCGGGCTGGTCACAGGTCTGTTTTCTCTGCAGAGGAAACGGGTAGATGGGTGGATGTTGTGCAATCCGAGTGTATGTTTGGGGAGAGAGAGCATGCTCTACTACTTTTGACTAATCAAACAAAGTGAATTAGCTATCTCCCCAGCCAGAACGAGTCATGGCTGGTTACACATCATTCATCGTGACTAATTTAAAGAGAGAGATGTCACTCAGCTGGATGGAAATGTGTTTGTGTGCACTCCAATTGAACCTCTGGGTATGTTACTGTAAGACTTCACTGTTTTGCGTGTGTGTTTGAGAGATATTTAGTTCTATTTTGTGTGCACCTGTGCCTCTGAGGGTTGATATGTTCATAAGTCTCCCTCCCTGTCACCCTCTGCTCTACTATTTTATCACTGGCTTGATACGTCGTCAATGAGGCTGGCATGCTAAATGATAATTAAGACCATTACACGCTCACAGAGCATGCTACCAGTGCAGCACACGGCTCCCTCAATCAGAGCCTCATCTCAGGGGACACCCTACTACTCACACAGTCGTGTATCTCTCCAAATTAGGTTAGATTTTCATTCCACCTCATTCGCCATGGATGTGATGTGGTTATTATAAACTCATGATATGGTTAGTGAGCCTGCTGCCATTAGATGGGCGGAGAGGCATCATGTTGGCGCGTTAAAGGGGAAATGGATTGCCAACACTCAGTATTGCACATCTCTGTTTCTCTTGCCCGTGCATATCTGAAGTATGTTTGCAGATGCACACTATGATACACGTAATGTCATAGAAAACACACAGAGATTCACAATACAATGCTAGAGTTTGTGCAGATTGAGAAGCAAACTAAACAATCATCTACTCAAAGTGTATACTTCCATCTCCAGTGCAGTGGTTGAGGAAATAAAGTTCTGTACTTACTGTAGGTACAATTTTAGGTACTTTTCTTGAGTATTTCCACGTATTGCTAGGTCTACTTTATGTTAACCGCAATACATTTCAGGGAAATATCTTACCAAAGTGTTAATAATCTTACATCCACTAAGATTTACCTTGAGACCTTTTGAAGGGTGCCATCCCTTTGGGTGGAAAACACTGGACTAAACTAACTGTACTGTCTTCAGGTAATAAAATGTGTCCATGTGAACCCAGTACATCAGTGAAATGATACTTGCACCTTGATGCATCAGTATTGAAAATCTATCTGTATGTAATAATATACAGTATCAATCACTGCCTTTTTTTTAAATGTTACTTCGAATTGAGTATTACTACATGTTAAACAAGGATCCATGTACTTTTTCCACTGTCCTTGTCTTGTCTGCCTTTAACCTAGAACACCTTAACCCAGAAACGTCTCTATATAGACATATTACATGTCCATACAATGGTGTTATCTGACATTGTGCCAGAACCAGGCTTAAAGAGAATTGACACTCCTCAGGTTTCTCCCCTGTTAATGAACCAGCGCAGGTATCAAATATTGGCTGAAAAAAGCCTAGCCTCAGGTTAAGGCGGTTTTGATGTATACAAATCAGGGAGTCTGTTACAAAAGAGGGTCATTCTTTGAATACAGGGACCTCCAGATTTCAGATGAGATTATGATGGGTTTTGTTATGTAGTTAGAGGGTTTTCAAGCTTTTGTTTGAGATAAAGATGAGAAGACAGAATAATGGACAAAAGAGAGGCATCGGGTAGGAAGAGAGCATGAAGTGCCATGGGACATTTTTCTGTTTGCTTGTATAGGATATGAGCAAATATAACAAGGATGTATAGGATGGCTTTGGCAATGAGCGATGACTGCACTGTGTGTGTGTGTGTGTGTGTGTGTGTGTGTGTGTGTGTGTGTGTGTGTGTGTGTGTGTGTGTGTGTGTGTGTGTGTGTGTGTGTGTGTGTGTGTGTGTGCTTTATACATGCTGCACATACAATATGGACCATTAGCTTTGTCAAACTATCTGCACAAAACTTATGGTTGCATCTTTAAACAGCCAAGCCCACTTCCTGTATGGCACCTGAGGGCATCATAAAAACCATAAAGTTAAAATGCATGCACAATGTTTCCTATGCAATGCAGCAAGGGAGTCTTAAAGCATAAATGTATAACTGTATGGTATGCAGGCACAAGGCCAGATCTGATAAGAGTTTAATCAAGACGGGTGATAATGAAACTAGAGAACAGAGAGAGACAGAAAAATACTTACCCAAAAACGAATTCCTGTAGTGTGTTTGTTAAGAAAAAACACATCACAAATCTTGTAACTGTGTGACTTTAACATTTAACTGATTACATTGATCAGGTGGTACTGATACTTATGACGTTTCTGTCATATTTATTACACATTGTCAATGTTAAACCTCTTTCTGTTTGTGTTTGTATTTGTCTTGTTTACCATAAAGGGACTACAACTGCAATACATGAACCTTAAACCTCCAGTATGTATCAATTAGTAAAATATATATGGCGACTCCTAGTGGTAGAATAAAGAAAGACACCTTGTTTAGTGTGAGAAAAAAAAGTATTTTTAATTCAAATAGCTTTGCACTATGTAATTCTGAAATAGAAATAGAGACGTTGATGCAGGTTAAATTAACTTTCTCATGAGCTTAAACTGTGAGCAACACAAGTGTGTGTTTGAAGCGGTGATTAGGCCTAAATTATGCATTAGGTACGTAATTACTCAGGTACAGCATTGCTGCCCATCTGCTGTCTGTTTCATTTTATTAGGATATAAACCTCTGCGTTTCACAGTGACTTACCTCAGGGAAATGACTCATGATTCTTTGTATGTATCATGCATGTGCTTTGTATGAGTGCATGTAGTATGTGACTCACATGCAGCAGCCAGCCTACCTGAGGACTCACTTTTTGTAAATGACATAACAGCTACTTTTATTTTGTGGAGGACCTGAGTAGGAGGCACAGTGCTAGATTTTGGTGTTCAGCCCGAATGTCGTGGCACTGAAGGTAATGGGATTGACCTGGATTGGAGTTTGGTCTGTGTTGTTTTGCTTATAGTATGTGTGTGTGTTTGTGCGTGTGGATGTTCTCCAGGTTTGTTGTTATTTGCCAGAGTTGTATTGTACTTACAACCTGATGCGTGTAATTAAAAAAAGTTGTGTGCAATCCAATTAGAGGATTTACAGACTAGAATTTGCAGACTTGGATTAGAAACTGAGAGTACTTGAGGAACATTTTACTTCCAAAATGATTTTCATCATTATATTGTGATATTTCCCAGTCTGCCATTTTAGTGAGGCATGCTCGTAAACCTTTATTTCACTATCAGTCAACATGTATATAGCTCTGGTAAAGGTTTCAATAACATTTTATTAGAACCTATAATAATACAAAATCAATCATTTTTGGATTACATATTGGATTATTAATCTGAATCTTCATAGTAGCCAAAGCTGTCAGATGAGTGTAAGGGACTAATATTTGCCTGAATTGTAGTTGAGTGAAAGTATAAAGTGGCAGGAAAGGGAAATACTCAAAGTACCTAAATACTGTCCACCACTTATTTTTTAAAATGTTTTAGGTATTTTCTTGTTGATTAAATATCTACGTTCCCTTTTTGTACAACATCTATCCCTTAAAAAGGACAGATGCTGTACACATAACATTTATTTATTTATTAGTTTAAGTGATAACTTCACGAAACTCATATTTCTTCTGTTTGCATAGTGTAACTAATTTACCGGTCTTTACATCCCATTTAACGTATTCCTTCTAGCTATAATATATAGAACATGCGTGTATTTTCTCTGCATTCTTTATAGACTTCATGTGGATTTTATTATTGTATATACTTGTTTAATGAATCGGAGACTGGCACTCTACTGTCCACATGAGGGCGCTGTGGTGCAATGGATGGGTCTACTGGACAAACTGTATCTGAATTGCTCATGATGGTTTTTCTCTGCTCCAGCCGGACATGACTTCTATCCAGGTAGTGGCTACATCTAACCATCAGGTGGCGCTGAAAATTCACTCTTTACTGTGGCCTGCTGACAGGTGGTGTGCGCGTGGAGAGTCAACACACCTGTGTGAATGAAGCAATTACCTCAATGTGTTGTGCAACTGCTGTATTATATTTAAGTTTTATAAAACGGACAAGTCAAATCAAGCAATCTGATTGTTTCTTAGCCGTGATATACTGAGCGTATACCACGGCTAGAATTGTATGTTACTTTTCACAACAAGTCCGTATCCCTCCGCGCCTGAGAAAAACAGTATAGGCCTACAGTATAACAACAGTATACAGTTGGGCCTCCGCTTCGCGTCGGGCCGAACCACGCCCCTTAGCTGTGATATAATGAGCATATACCACGGCCTGTCGTGAGCTATTGCTTAATAAGTGCCAATAAGGCTGCTGTGTGTAATAGTTTCCGGTTTGGGTTGATGGGGGATGCTTGCAGATTACTACATTTCTGCCTCTTTGCATAATGCCTAACCTTTTTCTACATTCGCGTTTTTTGCACCACACACAAGCGCTGGTTGCTGCATTTTTAATTGACTGTCAAACTCATGTCACAATATGCTTGCCTTGCAGTGCACTAAATCATGAAATAGGGTAAAAGGTAACAAAGCTTTATAAAAAACATTTCTTATGTGCACTGTTTTAATAAAATATCCAACAATTCATTAGTTGGCTATTAGTTGATATTGTGAAAAATAATTCCAGCTGATTTCCCGGATAAATTCAAGAGCCAAACCGTGAATAAAAGCTGTGTTTCTAATGATACTATATGAACAGTTATTACTTATATATTTATAATTTATTTTAATATTTGTGTACTATTAATGTGGTCTTGTTTTGTACGGGGGGAGGGAATGGGTGTACGACACAAATGGACAACATATCCTGTAGTTTGTTATTCTGTATGTATTTCAAAGTTGCTATGTTAAGAAAAAAGAAAAATAACGTCAAATAAAGTTGTGTTTCTGACTCGTGATGTCACCGTGTCTCCACACTGAGGAACTCCCCTCTGATCCCAGTTGGTGTTGAGAGTGATTGATTTCTCCCACCATTGCGCGCTGTGGAGAGACGATCATTGAATCCACGGCACAATAATGGCACCGCTGACAGGAGGTGTCGCTCCCTCTCGGTCGTCCCTGGATACTACCTGAACTGCACCTGTGGGCTTCATCTTCTCTTGTCATTGCCACACGCAACAGAAGCCCCAGACACGCGGTTGCGCGCATCACGTGCACTCTCCATCGACTGGGGATCGCCTTGTGCCGAGTTGACCGGATTAGCGCCTTGTTCATATAGGTTCCGCGTCTTCAATGGGAACAGCTCACGCATTTGGACGACTTGCGCATTCTCTTCCGTAACTTTGATGGGGACTTCGATATTGAGCAGGGAAAATGCCTGTGATGAAGGGATTATTAGCACCGCAGAACACCTTTCTGGACACTATAGCCACACGGTTTGATGGCACTCGTAAGTTTGCTTTTAATTGCTTTTTAAACACGCAGCTATAGCTTTTTAAGTTTTTGTTCGTTCCAGTCCATTTCACACATCTGATAAAGATCAGGGGCTTAACGATTGGTTGTCCTGGATGAAAATTATCTTTTAATAGACATCAGAGCAACTATATATCAGTTAACTTTTGTTTTGACATGTATATATTCAGAGCATCTATTAAAGCAGGAGAATAATAATGGCATTGCAATTAACAGGCTGAGGCTGTCGCTGTCTGTGGAGCTGAGCTTTCAGGACCACAGACAGCGACAAAAGGGTTAAATTGGGTGGCTCCACACCACCAAACATTTGGACAACTTGTTCGTAAGTTGCACCCTGTCACATATTGCACACATTTGTGAACACACCTGAATACATGTAACTTTTTCTCTGTTTGTCCACTCATGTTTTTTCCCCATCTTCCTCCCTCTGGTCTGAAACCAGCAGTCACATTTATCAAAATTAATTGGTCTGCTGTGGCATAACAGCAAGTCCTCCCTGGGCTGAGGCTTACACATTGAGGCATTTCTAAACGACAACTTTAGTCTGAACTCCTGCGCTTTATATTTCTCCATAATGATCATTTCTCTTGATCTATTCAGCAGCAGCTGACATTTGCTCCACGCTTAGTTGATCTCTGGTCTGTGTCTCTTTCTGCTCAGTGTCAACTCATGGGTTTAATTGGTTACATCTAATGCCTTTTTTAGGAAGCGATGCAAATCCTTTGGCCTTGTTACTCTCAACAGTTAACACATACCTTTATTATAGAAATGTTCTTGATAAATCGACTACTCGTATGGGAACAGTGGAAACGTGCACATCACAGTTTCCTAGAGACCAGTGTTTTGTCACCTTTGCTTAGTCTTATTGTTGGGGACTATTTTCCAAAACACACAAATTGTACCTTTTTCCTGTCATTATTAGTGTTACAAAACACACCATGCAACCTCTTTAAAAACACTTATGCCTCTTTAACATTAATAATTGGCACTTCTTATTAAAATACACATTAGTGATGTTTTTTCTCAACCCACACCTGACCCAACTCATACTCTACTGTTTGGGGCATTCTCCATTTTTGTCTGGTGTGTTCATACCTCTCGGAGAGGCACTTTAATGATCACACACATCCGTCAGTACTGTACTTTAGTCCCCATGGCTGCAGGTGGAGCACCACTGTATGTATGAGTGAGAGCAGGCTATATGTCGAGTGGCAACAAACACTGATCAGCCTGTGCAGGAACTCTCGCCTGACATTAAACAAGGGAACAGGAGAGGTACCACACAGAACAAATGCTTTGTCCTTGAGCTGTGAAGTAAAAGGAAATTAACGTTGGATCTCGACTGCAAGATGGGGCAGACTGGAGGCTGTGGAGCGTGACTGAACAAATGAGGTCCGATGGCCTGTCCAGGAGCAGATATAAAGGAAGTGCTGGGTTCACTGCTATGTGATCCTCTTTGACGTCATCCGAAGCCTATCGGGGGCAGGTCGGACCTTTACACAGAGTATGATAAATGGACAAAAGTGAAAGTCTTTCTCTTGATCTAAGATTGCAGACAGTCTTGCCCATAACTTTTGAGGTGATGACAAAGAGGGATTTTCTCCAATGTTCACTCTCAATGTAGGCGTCTTAAATCCTAGTGGTCATAAAGAGATAATAAATGTAAACTTTGATCTTTGAAGTGCAACCCTGTCCATTTGAAAAGCTGTAAATTAGATGTAAAATATTGATGGTGTTAAATATTTTTTCATTAATATTGGAATCAGAATTCCACAGCTGAGCTCGTCATATTTTTATTATATTATTATTATTATTTAATTCTTTAATTACATTTTTATTTGTTCCGTTCATATGCAAATCTTAATGTATAATAATCGTTAACAAAACATGTCTCTGTAAACACACCATTGACCGAAAAGGAGCAGGAAGAAGAAACAAATTACCTGCCCCTTTCTAAAGAAAATAAAAAATAAATAAAAATAGATGGTCTGTCCTTCATATTTCTTTTTCACAGCCAAACATAACAGTATCTTAGATCTTAGAAGAGAAACACAAAAAATACTTATTTCTCACTTGACAGTTAACGGAAAGGAAAAGGAAAACAACAACAACAACAACAACAACAACAACAACAACACCACCAAAACATCACATGTACAAGGAAAAGTTATTATCATGATCATTACATATCAGAGATACAAATATTGTTAATGAGATCTTGTATTTTTCTAATTTCAAGATATATTACATGACATGTCACTTGTTAGACGCTTTTATCCAAAACAACTTACATACTCAATACTGTGGACATTCCCCACAGGAGCAATTTGGAGGGAAGTGTCTCAGGGACACAACGACACGCTGACTGCAGTGGGGTTTGAACCTGTGACCCCCTGATCCCAACACCAACGCATTAACCCCCTGCACAAATATACATTTCCATTTGCCTTTCATTCTATAGAAAACTTGTTTTCTATTCTGTTCTATAAACCACTCCTCTGATACAGGGGAGCTTTTATCTTGAGTCTATCCACTCTCATTGCAGTTTGGATCAGTTCTGCATTTTCAGTATGTCACAGACAATGGATCCCCTAGCAGACAAGCTGAGAGAGAATTCAAAGTCATAGTGATGTACTTTATACGATGGTGTACTTATTCCCAAAAGTCTTAAAATCTAAGGTTGTAAGAAGTAATGTTCTCTCTAAAATGTCCAGAAGTAGTTTTGAACAAAGTCATCTCAAAGTTCAGGACTTTCCAAATGACCAACAGAGTCTGTGTGTTTCCCTGTATTATCGACATATCGGCTGACAGACACAAACACCTCTGAAGAGTGTGTTAGGATCAGTGTGCCCCTGTTAGCCAGGGTGTCTGTGGCTCTGCCCTGCGATGATCCCAAAACCTGTCTTTCAATAGAGCAATATGTAGTTAGTTGTTCATTACAATCATACATCGTTACTGGGTCAATTGAAATGTATGCATTGCACAGTCAACATTTTTCATATAAACCATGAATATCTAAAGGCTCAAGTTTACAGTCCAAACCCAAAGATTTTTGGTTTAATATCATAGATAACCACAAAAAAAAAGCACATTTTCACAACTATGAGGCATCTATAAAACCTGTAAAAGATGTTGTGGGATATTATAAATATATATAGATTTAGAGTTTACATGTTCAATTCACATGCAACTGGTATTCTATGTATAGGGGATAGTATAGTGGTAAAAACAAGTAGACCAACACCATTGGGCGACTGTGGCTGTGAGGGAGTGTGGTTGTCTTTCAACCAGAAGGTTGTGGGTTCGATCCCAGCCCATGCAGTCAACATGTCGATGTATCCTTGGGCAAGGTACTTAACCCTGAGTTGCTCCCGACGGCCAGCGGTGTGTGAATGTTAGGTCCTAGAGTAAGATACACTGCTCTGTGTGAATGGGTGAATGACATGTGGTATTTGTAAAGCGCTTTGAGGGGTCTTAAAGACTGGATAAAGCACTATATAATTACAGTCCATTTACCATTGTTTAAAAATACTTTCAGAAAAAAAAGTCATTGATTAAATTGGCTATGCAAATAAAAGTACAGAATTATTATCAGCAAAATGTACTAAAAGTATGAAAAGCACTGATTTGATCCAAGATGAATAATGTGTGCTTCCCGAGAAGTGACTGGAGATGAGAACCCGCTATGCAAGCACTAAAACAGAGACAGTGGTGAAGTGTCAAAAAAAGGCTTTATTTTGTCCATGACACTGACAAGGAGTTGACGAAGCACATTTAGAGGGAAGACGTGGAGCTGGGCTGATCAGGAGGGGAGGCTGGATGTGGCAGGCAGAGAGGCTGGAGTATGTGGATCTGGAACAGGAAAAACAAGCAGGATTAGGAAATAATTTCCTTTCACAAGGAGCATCAAAAAGTCACTAGGAAAAACCACTAGTAGGCCTGGACGATAGTTTACCACTGAAGATTAAACAAAGAACTGGCGAAGTCTGAGGATGGGAACCAGGGTTTTAAGCAGGTGCAGGTGAGTAGTGGCAATCAGTGAGATGAGCAGCAGCTGAGGAGGTGAGTTGACGGGAATCGGAATTTAGGTAGCCACGCCCAGCCAGGGAGACAGACACACAGACAAAACAAACACAGACAGGGGGAAAAAGAAGGAGGAAGTACTGCAGATCCTCACAAATGTGTGAAAGGGTGATTGACTTGTAGTTTGTAAAGCATCGAAAAGACCTGATAAAGAGCTATATAAGTACAGTCCATTTACGATTTGGACAAGGATCCAATTTTGTACACTTTGTGTAGATGTGTAAATAGGACTAGATCTTTATATAACTATGTGAGCATATCAATTAAATGTAATAAATAAATGTTGTTTTAAGTGTAAAATGTTACCATAAGTGTGAAATAACTGGAGCAAAGTAAAATATTTTCCTCTAAAATGTACTGGAGAAGAAATGTAAAGTAGCATTGAATAGCATAACTGGAATCCAAACTTGACACACTGTAATTGTGCTTTACTTAGGCAGAGCAAATGTGATTAGTGAATGTCCTCCTGCATGTAATGGAAGTGCACTAAAATGCATCCGTGCAGTTCTGCGGATAGCAAACTGTCACTTAAAATACCTCTGAAGTGAACTAATTTCTCCCACCAGCCATTTTTTGCTGACTTGACTTCCTGTCAAACATTGATGGCCTTCGTTGGGGCGATGAAGACAGTATTGGGTCATTCTTTGGCCAATTTAAGCAGAAGGCTGGGTAAAGTCTCTCAGTTTGTGCCGTGTGCTCTCGTTCTTGCACAATTATTCCAGGATACCTTTTTCTATAGCTCTTACCACACACTAGTTCCACCAGGTAATTACTGTCACAATCACTGATACTGTAGCAAGACTCTGAACAGCTGTGTTTTAGGTTGGTATGCTAAAGTGTGTATGCGAATGAGAGAGAAAAAGAGAAGGAGAATCTATATGTGTGTAAAGGAAA